GTCTTAACTACAAAAATAATTTCCCTTCAATTAGCTTTGTTTTAAAGTATGTTTCATCTTCAGTTTCTGGTTTGCTGCCATTTGCACTAGGTTAAAATCTGTGAAATGGAGCTGCTTAAACCTTGCAACAGGATTGCAATATCATACCCCAGGCCTCATAAATCCTTTTGATGGCCCTGTAAAGATGACTACTGTGTGGGGTGGGATATATCAAAGGTGCTCATTTATCCTAGCTGCTACTTATCCTAGGGTAGCTTTGGTTAATATAAGCAATGGGAGTTTTATTAGTGTTGGAGACCTGGGTTCAAATGCTTCCTTGGCCATGGAAGTTGCCATTGCTGTGCATGTTTTGACCGTAGACTGTTCTTTGAACAGCTTACATACTTCAGAAACCCTACTGGAATTGCCATAGGTTGGAAGTAACTTAACAGCACTTAACAGTAACAAAGTCAGTGTTGCATTATTAAGAGATAAAATAAAGAGTAAGGAACTATTATGTCAAAAGTTAGTTTTTGACAAATGGGTATTTTATATGGTGACATTTGTAGCCATCCTACCCTTTGAGCCAGCAAAGTAGAGTCAAGCTAAAGGATTCCAGTCCTGCTCATGAAATAGCAGAAGCCACTGGTGTTACTGGTTCCAAAGATGGTCACTGCCCTGGAAAGATTCTTGTGTAGTGTTGGCAAGGCCAGAAATAACAGTTCCACCCCACCAAAACGCTACTATGTGACAGCCCTCCACCCACAAACTGATTCTGACATTTTAACAGAAGGTTAGAATACTCCTAGCTGAATGTTTGCCTCCAAGAAAGTGTTTTGGCTGTTGTGAGACAAAGTGCTATGCTTAGAAAGAGATATGATTAATTTCAATGTGACTGATTTCCCAATGAGTATGTGTAGGGTTACATGATTACATTGTTTCCACTCATGATATTGGTATGTCCTTTTGAGCCTCTCTTGTATTTTTGTCATATGTAAAGGCCGTTAACATAAATACCATACCATTAAATGGAAGGAATGTATATTCAAGTCAAGTGCAATATTTTAAAAATGTAAATGCCAATCTGTGTTTAAATCTCATGTGTTAAAATGCTCCCATAGGATTTAGCTGTGCAGCAGGAAACTTTAAAATGTTTGTAAAATATTTATACATTTAAAACATTTCTAGACCATCCCTTTCATGCCAAATTTGCTGTAGAGCATAAACCAGTATAATAGTCTAAGAAGCAACATTCTAGTATTTGCAGATACTGAACAGTTTAACTTAATCTAAAACTAAGTTGAATAAACATGGCATGGTATTTAATTGGATGCTTGCATTCCATACTAGTATGACAAACTTCAGTTGTCTGGGCTTCAAGGACTTTAAGCTGTTACTTGACAGACAAACACCCATTATTTTCTTCTGCTATGGATTCCATTACTTGAAAGCTAATTGGGAAGGAGCATTTAAATATGACAGACCATATCAAAATATATTTCACTATTATGGAGGAGATAAAGCTTTCATAATACAACAAATGATCTCCCATGGTTGTAATGGTCTCTATATTAAATTCTGATCCATTAATATAATATCAGAGTTTAAATACAGTATAGGGATATGATTGGTATGGGTTTTTTTTTTTTTTACTTGTGTGTTCTACAGCTAGACTAAATTAGACAGACTACAGGGTCAAATACTGTGAGATTTGCTCTGATTATAAAATGGACGGACTTGAATCACATGACTCAAAGGCCAATTCGAATCAATTTGACTCTTTTTGATTCCAGTGTGAACTTTCTCCTTGCCACTGGGGGCTTCCACATTTTTCAAGCTAAAATGATTCAAAAAGGCTCCCCATGTGATCAGCTGTTTCCTTCTGTAAAAATACAGAGGGCATGTCTGTGAATGGTGTGGTGATGTAGGCAGTTCTGCTGTGTTTAGGGACTGCAGGAACATCTGTCCCACCCAAGTGTCTTCAATTTTTAAAAATTTTAAAATAAATGAATCTAGCACTATTGCATCGATACACCGATATACTAGTTTACCACTATATCACCTCTGTACAGAAAAATGCAACTGAATAGAAACAGTCCCAGTAAAGTACAGAAGGCTACATATGTTTCTATGGTATGTTCATTTCTGTGTTCATTATGAAAAAAATTAGAAGCTGCCATCTTTTTCCTAGCACAGTGCAAACAAGGGGCTTGACAGCAAACCATAAAAAGTGGCAGAGATGGGAACAAAGGAAAAAGGACAGCGACTATGGGCTGAAATGTGGATCACACTGTATCTGAATTAATCTGTGGCCCCTGTGTAATTGCTAATTGCAAATTGAAATGGAAGATTAGCTGTGAATCAAACTGCAGCATTGCCAGTGTAGTTGTAGCCTATGTCTAGTTATTAAGCATCTTTCAGGCTAATGAATACCTGACCTTTCCCAGTTGTTTTAAGCAACACCCATCTAATTTGAAGTAACCTCCACTGGGTCGTGTATATGGCCTCCAGTTATATTCTAATGCCATGAATCCAGTTATTAGTCCCAACTAGACTAAGCCCATTGAATCATCTACTGAATGATGAACCAACACTTACATGCACCCAGTTGTTTTAACTGGTCTGTTTTAGTTAGAACTAATTTTTGATTCAGGTACTTGTGAAACGTATGTACTTTAGAGAAGATATATATGTAATATTATTGGGCTGTGCCAACTTTTCCATTCAGTTGTAAATCCATAGTGATCTGCCCCTTAACGCTTGGGAAATTAACTACTATCTCATATTTCTAGATGTGTTATCTGAAGAGGTTGACTTCATTCATTCAGTTATGAATGATAAGTAATCTTTTCCTACTGCTCTATTTAACAATTGCAACTGATAATGTCACTCAGCAACAGTTGTTGGGAGAGGGAAAATAGCACAAGATGTTTTCCCAGCTCACATTCCACATAGAGCATAATTCTATTAATAAAAATATATAGACACATTCGAGTTTGCTAGCACATTAGACCTCTAAGTAGTCATTAAAACAATATGGTATGTACTAACTATTCACCCAGGCTCATACAGGACACAAGGCATTTTATGTACATTAAGCAACATACTGTATGTTGACAACAATTGAAAAATGAAATATTACAAACTTAACAAACTAACACATTCTAGCAAAAGAAGACACTGTGATGCAGGGTGGGGAATTATGAATGAAAGGCAACATCCTGCACTTAAGGTCGAAGCTTTGAATGTATGCCCCAAGGATTAGGTCCTAGAGGAACTGGTTCCATCTGCAGCTGGATATGCTCAAAAAATGAGGGGAGTGAAACCAGCTAAACTGTGACCTCAAGGCTACTTAACTCTTCTGGGAATGGCATCCCCACCAATCCCTTCTCTGAGGAGGCACAGCCTCTGATATTTCCTTATAGGCCAGATGAGGAAGCCTAGTGGGCTGAATTCAGCCTATGGCCTGCAGTAAAAGTTCTGTTGGGAATTTTTGCTTATTCCTTTTTAATTAGCAGATGTGGGGAGATCAGACCAGTTCCATCACCCTCCCCTTTTGTTTCTCCACACAAACTAGCACTTTGGAAGATGAGACTTGCCTCAAATGCTAGAGACAGGAGTCAGAACTATAGCAGTAGATTATTGATCCACCTTAGGTTGTGAAGCCCCCTCCCTCTGATTATTAAAGACAAATATTGGAAAGCTAAAAACTGTATGTATAAAAATATTTAAAAGACTCAAATGCCACACTAAAAATGTAAACAAATTGAAGACCAACAATATATTCAAAGCAACAAGGCACAATACAGTACTCCATTTAAAAACCCCTCTGAGATAGCCAATAACTAAGGGAAAGCCTGTCTGAAAAAAAGTTCTTTAATGGAGAAATGGAGGCAACAAAAAGAATAAATTTGCCACATCCGATCAGTGTCCCCTTAGCAACAGAAATGAGTATACAGTGGTGCCTTGACTTACGAACTTGATCTGTATTGGAATGGTGTTTGTAAGTCAAAATGTTCGTAAGTCGAAGCACCATTTCCCATAGGAATGCATTGAAAACCGATTAATACATTCCAGCCGAAGGGAAAAAAAATCACCAAAAAATTTAAAAGAACACAGCAAGCCCGGTCGGAAGGTGCTCCGTTGCTGAGGTTTAAGAAGAAGAAAGAGAGCCTTTGGAGAGGGGCTAGCAAGGTATGTAGCATAAAAGGCCAGTACCTCTAATCTTAATATATCCTCCAATCATCCTTGTACAATATAAGTTTTGATTTACAAGCTTAAATGGTTAAGGCTTCCTCTTCTATGCATAAACCTGTACAAATATGTTGGTACCTGCAGAAGCTTGTGCTATGCAACAAAACTACGATGAGATAGCTCTTTTATTACGCATTTCACAGGTGTAATGAGATCACTGCTCCAGTTAATCTATGTTGTAACTTTATCCTGCATTAGTTTCTTCTGTTTGCTTCTAGTATTGCAACAGGATTGTTTAGTGCCATGCCCCAAATATATTTGGGTTACTAAAATGTTGCTATTTATGCTCTTTGAGTCAGTTTATAAGAAAGTCGTTTGTTGGATTTTTAGGAGGAAAAATGTACGCTTCTTCTCAACGGCTACAGTATATTTTATGAGCCCCTTAGATCATTGTTTTCTAATTTAAAATTTAATTGCTTTTTTTCTATACCATACGAACTCTTCTATTTTGCAGCATTATAATCACCCATTATATATTCTGCCCATAGTGAAAGCTAGGTAACACTGAAAAATGGCTGTATTTTTATAACAGGTACTTAGCCACATACTACAAAACTATTATTATTCTTGTGTTAAAGACTGCAAGTGGGTTACTATTAATTTCCCTTTTTACAAATGTGGAACTAATATCATAAGCCACTTCGAGTCAAAAATATAGGAAAAAAACCAAAAGCTCATCCATTTTACATGATGTAAACAGATGCAGGCTGCAGTTAAGCTGATTCTTTCATGCTTTATAAATAGAACATGCCAGTGCAATCCTTTCCTTCCCTCAATCTAGCTGACTGCCCTGCTCCTAAATGTTGCTGAATGGCTTTCAATGTAATAGCTGTTCTGCAGGCAGCTATTCTATCGCAAGTATCACTCTGCCCTTTTTGAGAAAATGTCAAGGAAGAAAGTAGTTAGCAGTTTGTAGGCATTTCTCTGTGAAGAGCATCTGCATTAATGACACACGGGCCTCAGCAGGAGAAAAAAAAATACTGAGATAATGTCTGCAAGTATTTCTGTTGAAAGGAGCTGCACTAAACAGAATCTCTTAAAGAGAAGCCTAGAGAGCAGAGGAGAATGTCCTGCGAAGAGAAAAGCTAGCTGGGGTATTCTCACTAGCCAAGGTTAGTAAAGCACTCATTTCAAGAGGCAGAGGGGGGGCAACCAGATTTATTATGCGGCCAGGTTTTGCAAAACTGCTCTAAAATTATGGCTAAGTTAATATTTGATATACTATTTTGTGTATGAATGTTCATGCATAATTTTGCTATCATGAAGTATGCCTTAAAATTAATCGCAGTCCTTGGTTTGAGGTCTGTTTTTGCAAATGCTGAAGCCATGTTATATATAAAGCAAAGCAAAAGCCAGTGTTGCTAAGCACTCAGGACTGTTTGTGGAGTGGAAGAGCTGGAGTAGTAACCTTATACATAAATATACATGTGGAGGTAAACAAGTCAGGCAGAACAAGAACTTGGCAGAAGTAGTGGTGATGTACAAATTGCAGGGAGAAATAATGAGTTAATATAGAATCTGTTTGTGTTTCAGAAGCATTGTGAATCATACAAAATACATTAGACCTGCACAAGGAGATGTAAAATTAACAATTCTGAATTCATGTTATTTTTATGTTACCCCAGACCCATTAACCCGTGTTTCCGTCACTTGACACATAAATTATTTTTAGATCCAGCAATCAGTCACCAGCTATGTAGATTCATTTGTCACAGACTTAGTTCCAAGTCAGAGCTTTTCCAGGTGGGGCACAATTCCCTTCGTAGCTGGTCATGGTTAGTCACAGGGGAGAGCAGGGCTTTCTGGGACTTGCATCCACATTGAAATTTGAAATTCACATTTATAAAAATGCTTCTGTCTGGAAGATCTTTGAAAGGGTTTGAATTTCATGTTTCTACTGTGTTATGGGGGGTATTTAAAATATAATAGCATGTTGATTAAAATTTGATTGGGAGGGTCTTCGGGTAATGAAATTAACTGCACAAGAAGCTTAGAAAATTCTATAGTACTAAACTCTTGTCACCTAAAACAGAAGGTAAAAATGCCTGGGGGTGGTGGAGCAAAAAAGCTTGGAAGGCATGGGTTTGTTGTTGTTGTTATTGAGATAACCACTGGCTGAAATCCTGTTGCACAGGTTACACTGTGTGATTCTGATGATGTCATCCTCTGCAATGATTTTTCTGAAATAAAAATAATCTAATCCCTCGTGAAGATTCCAAGGCTCCTGTGGTGTCCCTTTTGTTATTGGGAAGACATTGGAACCACAGGATGGGGGGAGCTTTTATTTTTCAAAAACTGCCACCAGTAAAATCCCCGTGGTGGTGATGGCAATTTTTGGAAAATAAGGACTTCCTCCTTCCCTCAGCCTCTAATGCCTTTCTCATAACAAAAGGCACTCCACAGAAAGCTCAGGAAGGAATTGTAATTTTGTGATTTCTAAAATATCATTTCAGCTGATGATGTCATCAGCCTTACACATTGTAATGTCTGGCAACAAATTTTCAATCATTATACAGTATAATGAATGGCAGGAAAAATACTGAAATAAATATTGACAAATCAGTTGTTTTTTACAGGATCAAATTCTTTGGACATTTCTTTGAAATTTTAATGCTGATTAAGTACAGTCTTTCAATTAAAATAAGAATTTAAAACTATATTATTGCTGCATGAGAGTGTAGCAATAGGTATTGTCCAGCAAAGCAAATCAGCATTCCATAAGCACCCCGAACAAAAAAAATGATGTTGAAACTAGACTTCAGATCAGCACCAAATATGGCACAGATGTAGCAATCTGCTCTTGTATGCCAAATTTGGGGATGTTTTTGCAAATAATTTTTGAGCTAATTCTTTTGCTGGTAACCTTTTTTGACCGCAGATTTAAAACAGATAGAATACACTGAAAAGACAAAGCTTGCTTATCCTAAAAGAGAATGCTTAGTCCCCTTCCTCTCTTTTTTATTGGAATGGAAGCTTGGGGGGGGGGGTTAAATTGAATCTGAAAAAACCTTTTCAAAGGGAAAAAACCTCTGAGTTTCTAGCTTTCTTATAAACTGGTTATCAGCTTTATAACTATAAACATTGTTGCAAGGTTGAGACCCCAAAAGCACCAATTCAGAGGTAACTGGCTCCATTTTTGTACTGCTCTAACAGTTAAGATACCTGCTTTGATTTGGATTCCTGCATTGAGCAGGGAGTTGGGCTTATAAGCCCCTTCCAACTCTATGATTCTATGATGCTTTTCCTGCTATTCACCCTAAATCTGGTTTCCTATAACATGAGGCCATTATTATTTGTCCTGCACTCTGGGATGACCAAGAACAGATCCTGCCTTTCATCTGTGTGACTACCTTTCACATATTTGAAAAGTGCTGTCATATCTCATCTCAGTCTTCCTTTCTCAAGGCTAACATGCCCATTTCTTTCAGTCTTTTCTCATAGGACTTGGTTTCCAGCCCCCTGATCATCCTTGTTGCCCTCCTCTAAACTTGCTCCAGTTTGTTGGAATCCTTCTCAAAGTGTGATGTGGTGTCCAGAACTGGACACAGTGCTTGAGATGAGGCCTAACCAGTGCTCAATAGAGGGGGACTAGTACCTCACAAGATCTGAGGCTATATTTCTGTTAACATCTTAAAATAGCATTTGCCTTTTTTGCAGCCACGTCACACTGTTGGCTCATGTTCAGCTTGTGATCTACAACAATTCCAAGATCCTTCTCACTTATAGCATTGTTGAGCTGAGTATTCCTCAACTGTGCATTTTTTAAAGAAAAAAAAATTAAGAAAGAATTTCAAAGAAGCATATATCTTTTCAAAGAAGCATATTTGTGTATCACACATCTAAAAACCAAGGAAGCAATATTAGACCTCCCAATAGTTCTATAGTTACTTTAAAAATGTTCTCTGGGAGCTCTAATTCTAATGGATGATTAAAGTATTACATCCCACTTTCTCACACAATGTTTTCCAAAAACACTTTAAAACTCATTCTTTCTATGCCATTTCTCCAGTCAAAATCAAGAGTGCTCAGCTAGTATTTTGCAGTACAGCTGAAACAATGGGGTGGATTATAATGGATGTCCATTATGTGGAGTCTGATTCATGTCTAAGATGGCAGTTCCAGAGGGTTACATGTTTTGGCTTGTTGCTGTACAGTGAAAAAAACAGTGTGGTCTGTGATGAATGATAAAGATGTTGATACAAACAGTTATAATAATTGTTTGTTTATTTTACACGTAATTTTAACAAAAATAATAATATTTGAATACAGTTGATGATTTTCATGTGTGTTTAATGTATTTTAGAGACGTACCCTGTGCTTCATGTCATGAAGCTATGTGACTATTAAACATTTCAAATAAAAAAACAACCTGCAGATTTGATGACAGTTGCCCTCACAAACAATTCTGCATGGCAGGTTATTAATCCGGTTACGTACAAGAGAAATTGAAGTTGAAAGTGACTCTTGTCCAAAATCACTTGTCAGGTTCAAAATGAGTGATTGGTGGAAGACAAAGCCCCCACATTTATCAACAGATCAAATTGTTATATGATTTAATGATTACATTGTAATATATTCATTATATTGGGTAGTATTTTTACCAAGCAACAAAAGGAGACAATACGTGAAGTCAGGGACATGGATATCTTTTTACTGCTGAGGTTTTGCAGGTGAAAGTTCATATTATAATGAGTGCAGAGCTCTTTCTAAAAATGGCTGAAAGGTTTTAACAGGCAGCAGCTAAAGAAAACGATTTTGTGGCCTTGTTTAAAATGAGCAGGATTTATAATTTCAATTGGCTTGAAATGCCATGGGGAGATGGAGATTTAGGTACTGTATGCAATTTTAAAATTATTTGTTGTTTTTTGTTTGTTTATTATAACATTTTAACCTCATCTCTGCAGTATTTACTGAACTGTAGACTCTGTTCTAGTAAATCAGACACCAGATGGGTTGCAATGCATGTTCTAAATATAGTCAGCAGTATTTTGCATTACAGTCAGAGCGAAAAGGGGCACAAGATGGTAGATTAATATTTTTGAACAGGGACTTTTCTTTCCGTACTGTATTTAGGAAATGTTATATTATTTAAGAGAGAGAATTGGGGGTATCCAGTGTCAGGATAGATTAGGATTCTGGAAATCAGGGTTCAGATACCAAATTGACCATGAATACTCACTGGGGGCAGGTTGGCACTGGTAAATCCACTCCTTTAAGTAACTCACATACCTTGAAAGCCCTATAGTTGTTGTTTAGTCCTACGCCACTGTTCAAGCAACAATGCTTTTGTAGCCCTAAGCAGTCCTTTCACAAGACTCAGCATCGTCGTCTAGTTGTTTAGTTGTCTCCGACTCTTCGTGACCCCATGGACCATAGCATGCCACGCCCTCCTGTCTTCCACTGCCTCCCGGAGTTTCATGTTGGTAGCTTCGATGACACTGTCGAACCATCTCATCCTCTATCGTCCCTTTCTCCTCTTGCCTTCACACTTCCCTAACAATCAGGGTCTTTTCCAGGGAGTCTTCTCTTCTCATGAGATGGCCAAAGTATTGAAGCCTCAGCTTCAGGATCTGTCCTTCCAGTGAGCACTCAAGGTTGATTTCCTACAGATTCGATAGGTTTGTTCTCCTTGCAGTCCAGTGGACTCTCAAGAGTCTCCTCCAGCACCACAAATCAAAAGCATTGATTCTTTGGCAGTCAGCCTTCTTTATAGTCCAGCTCTCACTTCCATACATCACTACTGGAAAAACCATAGCTTTGACTATGTGGACTTTTGTCAGCAAAGTGATGTCTCTGCTTTTTAAGATGCTGTCTAGCATCTAAAAGCCCTATTAAGTCTCTATATGTCAGCTCCAACTTCACAGCATATAACTAACTAGGATTGTTAGAAATCCATAACTTTTGAATACTCCGCTTGTATGTTATAGTCTTAAGCTTGCAGACCTCTCTCGACAGACTGTGAGAGGGAGACCCTTGGTAGCTGTTCATGATTGGCCAGTGTACAGACACATCCTTGTATCTGTACACTGTCAGTTTCTTTCACACTCATTCTCTCTCTCTCTGTGACAACTCTTGAGAGCACTCACAAATCTCACGTTTTTGCTTTGAAAGGATGGGATGCTGTCAACCTGACAACCCTAGTGAGAACAAAAGGCTTGTAAAAATACAAGGATTTTATAAAAACAAAACAATAATTCTAGCAGTTGTAGGAAGCTTTTGTAATCAATGCTCTCAGAATTCATTACAAGCATTAGTAATGCTTATTGTCACTTTGAAATTTCATTTTCTGTGCCTCTATCCATCTTCAGTGGGTCCTCACAGCCATAATGCATACTGTATATAAACCTGTGGTCAATTATGTCACTCTGTGTATCCGAGGAAGTGATTGTAATCCACAAAACCTCACACTGAAATAAATGTGGTTGTATTTAAGGTGCCACAATACATTTGTTTCAATATTTTTTAAATTACATGTTGAAACAGTTATCTCTTAGAAGTTTGTGCTGGGGTAAGGTGGATGATTTTAAGCTGGTGTATATATGTATATTGCCATGAATATTGTGATTGCATCTCCAGTGCAGGACAGGCTATGCGGAATCAATATCATGTACAATATCATGTATGGAAAAGAGCCTTTAATTGTGAGAAATTAAAGTTTGAAGACACTAGGGAAGTTATATTGAGTATGACAATAGGGGTAGTAATAGGCACAAAAGTGTGTTGCTGTTTTCATTTATAAAATGCTGGAGTATATATGTGATGACTACTACAATGAGCAGATGGTGTAGTGCAAACCTGAACCTACATTATTTCCACATATCATGAGAGAACCAAATATGGTAATGTTACAATAACGATACTTGCAGGCATTTTAAGGTATTCCAAATAAGCATATGTAAAGGGAGCATAGGATCCCACCATAAATGTACCATAGGTAAGGGTGAACATGACTTGTGGGGTGATAGAGAGACTTTGCCTGCAATTATGAGCATATCCAACTTTCAACAGTATCTGGAACACCTGTGTGAGTTTAATATGCCTCAGGTATGATAATAAGGTACTTTATATACTTAGCAGTTTCCCAATGCAGCAGACTCTTAGAGCTTGCAGCAGACTCTTAGAGCTTATGTTGGCAGCAAAACAAATTGGCACAAAGGAGCATTGAGTTCTCTGCAGTGAAGATGCACCAATGTTCTTGTCAACAATAGCCATGAATTTTGGAGGGGTGTTTCTCACACAATAAGACATTTTAAAAAAAAACATAACTATTGATTTTTGTTGGTGATATTGTTGTGGGAAATGTAGCCTCAGATTTTTAATTTGCTGTTCATTTTTCTGGCATGAGCTAAAGATGGGTCTTGGGAAATCACAATTTAACATACCATCTACATCTCATTTACTCCATAAGAATCCTGTTCAATTCATTGAACGTTTGCCTGAGAGCCAAGTCTCTGAATCAGGGGTGATAAACTTCTGAACACCACTTGCTGGAGGTTGCAAGCATGAGGGTGGGATTGAACTCTTGTCTTTCTGGGAGACTTCTGAGAGATAATAATAATAATTGTAACCTTAGAACTGCAGAGCTAGAAGAGACCCTGTGGATCATTGAGTCCAGTCCCTGTCAAGGAGGCACAGTGGAGAATCAAACTCCCAACCTTTGGCCACTGAGCTATCCAGCAGAATGATGGATTTGATATCCCCTTGAGCTTCTTCAGCATGGTTCTTCTTATGGTCTCATTTGGGACCTTTCTGTTATCCCCTTAACAGTAACTGTTTAAAAGGCAAACTCTGAGCTCATCTACACTGGTCACTTTGGAGCAAGCTGGTATGGGCTAAATATAGGCCGGTGGAGGTACAATATGCCATTTGGTATGGTCTTCGCACCCAAATAGCATAGTGGAGTTCCTAGGCATCCTTCAGTCTCAAGAGACTATGGTAACATGCTCTGAATCGAGGAGTGTCCTCTCCAGAGCATGAAGCCCGGGTAAGGTAATATGGAGGATAGGCTGTTACCCAAGCAGCGGATCCCCCCTCTCCACATTGCTGAAATGGTCCAATGGAAAGCCAAGAGCCAATACAACTGGTTCCAGCAACGTCGCAGGAGTTGGCAGAACGACACATGCTGCCTTCAGGACTCAAGCATCCCTATTTGGTCCAGTTTCTTCCATTCTGAATTCCTGATATTGTGAAGTAGCTTAAGAAGTTTGTGTTGATTTGGATTTGTATTGATTTGGCTGTGCACCACTTCACAATATCAGGAATTCAAAAGGGAAGGTGCCTTGACAATCAGAAGTCTTGCTTTTTGTCCAGTCCTAGTGATCACATGGACTGTGCTGCAAATTGACCAAAATAGAGCAATCATACCTGAACCGAAAAGGTAGAAACCCCTGACAAAAAGATGCAGGTGGGGACACTCTTGGGATGGTTGGGTTGACTCCAGTGATTACATTGTGGGATCACCGGAAAAAGGAGTGAACCAACCCACTCCCACATCTGACTAAACAGCAAGCTTTATACTCATCTGGTTGCACCCTGTGTTCTGAATGGTTTCATTTGTATAATACTTTATGCATTGATAACAAACCAATACTACAAGACAGGAAAAAAACCCAGTCTCCATCTGCAAAAATCTAGGTTATGAAAGTCTGAAACTTCCTTGTACCTACCCAGCTTGCAGCTTAATTGTAAAATATTTGTTCATATGTTCCATGGAGATCAGTGGAATTTGCTCTGAACTGTGCAAAGCTGGATAGGCATCTGGCTGCGGAGCCAGAAGTTGGGAGTTTGATTCTCCACTGTCCCTCTTTGACAGGGGTTGGACTTGATGATCCATAGGATCTTTTCCAGCTCTGCAGTTATAATATTATATTACCCTCTTAAAATGTAGCCCAGGTGACCTTGAAGACTCCAACCACTCCCGTTATTTTATTTATTTAAAATATTCTTACCCCGCCTTTCTCTTTAAAAAAGGCCCAAGGGAGCTTACATCTGTAAAAGGCAGCATTGAACGTTAACAACAGTGAGTATATAAATACTAAAAAAGGTCAGACAAATACCATACTAAAAAAACAGTAAACAAAAGCAACATCAAAACACATTCAAAGCAGTAAGGTACAACAATCCATTTAAAAATCCATTCAGGCAACCAGTCATTCAGGAAAAGCTTGCCTGTAGAGAAAGGTTTATGCCTGCTTGCAGAAGGACAGCAAAGATGGGGCCAGTCCAGCTTCCTGTGGGAGAGAATTCCAAAGTCTGGGAGCAGCAACAGAGAATGCCCTCTCCTGTGTGTCCACCAAGTGCACCTGTGAAGGCGGCAGGACTGAGACAAAGGCCTCTCCTGATTATCTTAACACTCAAGCAGGCTCATAAAGGGAGACGTGGTCTTTAAGATAGCTTGGGCCATTATTTTTCACATGTAAAAAATAATTAAAGTAGCATATGCTGAGGGATCAGATTTATGCTTAAAGGCCATATCCAGTTGATGATTTACATGTGCGTAGGTTAAACTAAATGATCATCATGATGAATTGCTGTCAATTAATGAGGTGTTGGTTGTATTATGAGGCATGTTGTACAGTGGGGTCTCGACTTACGAACTACCCTACTTGCGAACAATTCAACTTACGAACCCGCCCTATAGGGGAAATAAGACTCGACATATGAACTTCCCTCGAGTTACAAAAAGGAAAAAAGTACTCCCTCCTTCCCCTTAGAGGCTTCTGGAGGGGAAAAAAGGGTCAGAAACTTAAAAATAAATAAAAGAAAGTCACGTACCAGGCCTTGGTAGCCCCCAAACAGCAGGAAAAAGAGCAGGAAACAGCTAAAAGCCCACATCAGAAGGGAGCCTGGCAGCCATTTTGTGCTTCGGCTCCTGCCCCCTCCTCTCCCCGCCTATCAGCTGATCGGCTGGCTCTGAAGAGGCTTGGGGAGGCTTGCTCAGCACCTAAAAAGCTTGCCTGTGTGTCTTTGTGCTGAAAAAATCATCACAACATGCTTTAAAACATGATTTAAAATGGGCTTCGTTCAAAAAAAAGATTTCTAAAGTGCTTTGCAAACTGTTCCCTGCCTTCCTCCTCGTTTCCTGAACCTAAGGGGGGGTGGGAAGAAAAAATATCCCCCTCTAGTGGCAGAAGGCGGAATAGCAGCTTCCCAGTAGTTTCTATGGACGGAAAAGAGCAGATACGGATTAAATGGTTTTCAATGCATTCCTATGGGAAATGCAAATTCGACCTACGAACTTTTCGACCTAAGAACCACCTTCCAATACAGATTAAGTTCGTAATTCGAGACCCCACTGTAGTAATATGATCAGTACCTTGTTAACAGCAATTTGCCATGGTGAGTTAATGCAATTTAGCTTCCACACATGTAGATCACCAACAGGATTCTAAGCCCTAAATACTTTTTAAAAGGGATAGTGTAGAATTTGTTATCTTCAAATGTACTGTTTCTCATCAGTTGTATACTGAATGAAAGTATAATGTATGTAATTAAAATTGTATGGTGGTACTGTTCCATAGGTTCCTGGGCAGATCGTTCACCACTTCATGAAGCCGCAAGTCAAGGACGCCTTCTTTCTCTAAAGACTTTGATTGCACAGGTAAAACAAATACTGAAGATGTTTAAAACATGTTTTGTTTCCTCCTCCCTTTATTTACTTGAAGTTAACATGAAAATGATATTCTGGCCTTGATTTTGTTTGTTAATCACTTCTTCAAACCTCTCTGGTTTCTTTGGGTGAGTAAATGTGTACAAAACTAACTGTTCTTTAGATGTTCATTAAAGTGTTTGAAGGTGTTTAGAGCGTCAGACTATGATATCTGTAAATATGTTTGGCCATGCAGTGATCATGAGGATTATGTCACAGTTTTCTAGCATTGTGGTTTAAGAACAAAATCAAGTCATAGATCTGAGTTAAGCACAAATCCTTGTTCCCTATTGTTTTTAGCACAGTGGTGGACATAATATAGCCTAGAGCCACGTGAGACTCCCCAAAGCTCTTTCTGCCACCCTGTCCTGTCCTGTCCTCTCTTATTCTGGTAAAAAGTTGATTTGTAAACCTTTGGGAGTATTGATTTACTTCTTAAATAGTTTAAGAAGTTAATCCCCATCTCATATCTTTTCACACCCAAAGAAAAACAGTTTTCAAAACTGGACCCAAACTTCTAGCAAATTCAGTTTCAATTTCTGTGGGTAAAATCATATCCTTCCCCTCTCCCACAGCAACTCACTATTCTATACATTTATGAGCCATGGAAGAGACCGAGGTGTATAAGGAGAGACCAAGGTGGATATACAGCATAGGAATGTATAAAAGTCTATAAATAAGTTTACTATGTTTGAACTATAATTTATATCATTCTGTTATGTTATTTTTTTTAAATTAACAACTTAGGATAAGGTAGGGGATACAGAAGGTAAAAGGGGGATATGGGTGGGAAGTAGGGAGAGAACACAAAATGTACTGCCATCCAATCTATTCATATTGCCATATCAACTTTCCGTTTTTCTGCTATATGATTGCCCTCCAGGTTATAACTTACATTTTCATCCTAGTTTTAATCTATATTATTCAAGTGCTATCTGGTGATTTCAGCCATTTATATAATAAATCCCATCATTCAGTTGCCTTTTGTATTGGACAGTCCTTCAGCACTTCTGATAAGATATCCATTTCTGCCGCTTCCGTATCTTCTCAATACCGGTATCACCGATTTCTTCCAATTCTTGGCATAAAGAATTCTGGCTGCAGTGGCTATGTATATAACTAAGTATTTCTTTGTTTTATCTATATTGTCTGGTATAATACTCAATAGAAACAGTTATGGGGTTAGTGGTTAGTGGAACCTTACAAAGCAATATTTTTGTAACAAAGTATGTACAACTATCAAAAATTGCTTCACTACTCTACAAGTCCACCACATATGATAAAAACTTCCCTCATGTGCTTCACACTTCCAACAAACATTTGATACATCTGCACAAATCTTTGATAGTTTTTGCGGAGTCATATGCCACCAATAAAACATCTTCTATATATTCTCCTTAGATTTTCTTAATTACTTTATCTTTTGAGCCCAGCAGAAGTTTGTCAAATATCATTTGTTCTGGGTAAAACCCTTCTATTTTATCTTTTCTATACCTAGATTCCACTTGTGCTCTCGACCACCAGTCTATAGTCATTCTGTTATGTTATTTTGGATGGATTGTCAATTAAAAAATAAAGTGTTTTTTAAAAAAATTCTATACATTTTGGAAACTCACTGACAATCGAAGAGCATTGATTTTGAATGAGAATTCAATGCGCTTAAGTATATGTTACATTTTTTAAAAAAAAAACTTGTCAGCAGGTCTTTTATTGGGGTATTGAATAAATGCTAATTAAATATATTTAACTCTGGATAAAAGAAGTTTGAAGAACTGGTTGTAATGTTAGTTTGTATTTCTGTGTTTAGGGATACAATGTAGATGCTCTAACCATCGATCAAGTGACTCCATTGCATGAAGCATGTCTGGGAGATCATGTAGGATGTGCTAGAGTCCTTCTTGAAGCAGGAGCAAATGTAAGTATTTTTCCTTCTGTACAACCAGCACTGATAACTTCAAATATGGTCACTGAATAGAACAAAACTGGAAAATATTAAAGAGTCCATGTGTCTTTGGGAGCACTGGCAAAAAAGTACTAATGATCTATCTTACTAGAAAGTTAGCTTTTACTGTATTTACTGTATGAAAAGGCATTTCCCAGCAGCATTTACCTCAATGTATATCCTTATTTATGCAAAAGATTATAATCCTCGGCTAAATCTAGCCGAAGACAGTGTGTGACAAAGCTTACAACATGTCCAGAATCCTACTGGTGATGTACACTTGCATAACTGAGAGTGTTAAGTTGCTGCTGACAGTGAGTTCCTTTATTTACCTCAGTGGGTGAAGGATGTAACCAGAGATGATCTGAGGCTGTTCACAGAGTTGAAGATTTACTTAAATTTACTTAATCTGGATTCTTTGAACATTAAGACCATGTAAAACTCTTGTCTGGATTCTCTAAACATTTCAGGGGTACCTAACTTTAGCTATATAATTTTGCACTTGTGGTATTCATACCCATATTTCTTGAATAGCATATCCAAGTGGTACTTCACTTGGTAGTCCTCCTGCCTCTTTTCTCTATCATCATTGTCTGCACACCATCAGCTCTTTTATCTTTAAGATTTTCTCAACAGCTCTCAGAGTTCTTAATGGCACATACATGGATCTCTGCTGCAAACCAGTAGTATGAGGAATTCTAACATTTTCCCAAGATAGGGGAAAAAAAGATAAACAAGCATTTATTCTTATTTATACTCATATCCAATATTTCAGGTAAATGCTACAACAATTGATGGAATGACACCATTATTCAATGCTTGCTCAAGAGGAAGTGCATCTTGTGTAGAGCTTCTGTTGGAATATGGTGCCAAAGCTCAGTGGGAGACATGTCTCCCATCTCCAACTCATGAAGCAGCCAGCAGAGGTAAGAAATTTTAAGGACTGAATAGATCAACATTAAATCAGACATTAGAAATGTGATTCATTATTAAGAAATTAATTATATTCTTTCTTGGCTAGGTCACAGCGATTGTTTAGAGCTATTGATCTCTTGGGGCATAGATGTTGACCAAGATATTCCTCATTTGGGAACACCTTTGTATGTAGCTTGTGTTTCACAGCAGAAACAATGTGTTCGCAAACTTCTTTATTCAGGTACAGTTTTTAATACTTCCTGTTTATTATATTCACTTTTTAAACTGAATCACTTTCACTGTAGCAGTGTAAGCATTATTTTAGTTTTGATGATCATTTTATTTGTTTGGCCCAAATCTGTTTGCGTTATGGCTCATCACTTCTAAGTTCAGTTTGCTCCTAAAGATTCTGCCCCGTTAAAAAATATATATATTGCCCCCCATCTGGTCCAGAACAGTAACAGTTAAGCTAGACACAATTAATTGAAAATCCATAGGAAAAAAATCTTATTTTAAAGGATGATTCAAAAGCGTACACATTACCCTGGATTAGAGTTTAGTAATGATTTCGGGGCTTTTAAAAGTAATATTTTCTTGAGTTTTAGAAACAATGTTCTTTAAACACAAATAAAATGTGTTTTAATTGCATAGCCTATTTTCTTTCAGATACTTGTTCCTGTCAGCTATGTTTGTATAATCTATAGTGCAACATATAGATCCAACAGCGCTTGGGAATGGTAATGGATTGGATGAGTACTACTTAAACTCAGTTCTACTAGAACAAAGATAATCTTGGCAGTTTTTCTCCAAGTGGACAGCAAAAATAGGCATCCCATGGCACTGGAAAGATTAACGGTTCATCTGCATTGGTTGATGACATCTGATTTATTGTGCTCCTTCTGAGGGATGAGTCTTTTATTGTAAATGTTTTTCTGTAGTATGTGTATGTGTATCCAGATTTCTACTTTTTGAATGTGAGGATTTAGATCAGAGGTTCCTTGATGATTTTTTTAAAAAATTATTTATTTTTGCAACATACCTACCCTTTTGGTTTTTAGAAAAACACTCCCCAACTTCCAGATTCTCCTTTGTCATAAGCAAATGAAATCAATTTATAATTTAAAACTGGGTACCAAAAACTAGTATAAATAGTAACAGATAGGTTTAATTAATTTTATTCATAGTCTTTCTCCCAATAAAAGGGCCTCAAGACAGTAAAGAAGACATATGAAAAATTTAAAAATCTTTACGCTAACAAAATATTTTTCATTGTGCCAATTTCACAGTCTCATCCCTTTCTTTGAAATTTGTCTCCCCAGTTTCAGAACCAATGGCTAGACAGTATGATCCTACCATGATAATATAGTATTATTATTTTTTCTGCTACAAATCTGCAGGTGCAAATGTACAAAAAGGAAAATTTTTGGAAACTCCATTACATGTAGCTGCAAGGCAATCCAGCACAGAAATAATAAACATGCTTCTCGACTTCGGGGCAGATATAAATGCCAAAAATACAGAGTTTCAACGACCTGTAGATGTAGCTTCTCCACGTAGCTTGGTGGAAAGTATATTGCTTCTACAGGAAGGTAAGAGGAAATGCTTGTCTTTGTTCATGTGTGTTAGAGTAACATTTATGCCTTGAGAAAAATAGTTTGTTCCTATATTTTGGAGTTTTAAAGGGGACCTCAAGGCCTTAGGAATGGACCTCAACAGATAGGAAAACTTAACATGTGAGCATTCAGCCTGGAGGCAGGCGGTGCATCATGGCCTCTCCCAATTTGAAGAGACACTTGTCCAGCAGGCTGAGGCAAAGAGGCAGACCCGAAACCATCAAAATCAGGGAGCTGGACTGAGGACAGATTGTATTTGTCTTTAGTGTGGAAGGGACTGTCACTCTCGAATTGGCCTTCTCAGCCACACTAGACGCTGTTCCCAGTCCTCCACACAGAGCACGTTACCATAGTCTCTCGAGACTGAAGGATGCCTAATCATCAATCACAAAGAACAAAGGAAGTTATCTCCCCCTTGAAAATAGAGATGGAAATTCAGTACAGCTCTGCTTAATGTCCCATCTACTCTTCCCCACTGTTACTGGATATTTCATATGTATTTCAGGCCATCTACTCAAAATGTGTGCTTACTCTTCCCCGCTGTTACTGGATATTTCATATGTATTTCAGAGGTGAAATTTTCTTCTTTCTTGGCATTGACACCTAAAAAGGAGACACATATACTTGATTTGAGGATGGGGGTGGTCACAGCTTTCCTGTAACTTCAGCATACTGGGCTGTCTGACTAGCTCAGAGTAGTTTGGTTACCTTCCCCTCCCCTAGCAAACTACTGTTTTCATACTCTCTCTTTATTTTCCCCTGTCATGGAGTGGATTCTTCCATTATAAGTAATCTAGCTAAACTTTCACAAGCAAACATTTTACACAGTAATTATAATTTACAGTACTCAGTGTTTGTAATAGAAAACTCTACTACAAATATTTTTTAAAAATGTTGCATTAGTAAAGTAACCATCTGGGCATACTATAGAGAAAGTTGCCACTTTCTAACAGACATATCACAAATTCCTGAGTGTATTTGAATTTCACTTTACTGTTCCTTTTTATCCACTTGCAGCGACTCCATGTTCTCTTTGCCAACTATGCCGGCTACATATCCGAAACTATATAGGAAGATCCAGACTACATCTTGTACCACAACTCCAGTTGCCAACAATATTGAAGGACTTCTTACTGTACAGATAATGTGGTGATTAGCTTTTGAAAACTTGAAGAACAAGTATTTTACTGTATGCATCACATGAAAAAATTGTTGAGATGAAGAAAAAGAGGGCCTTAACTAACACATTACATACTAACATATATCTGACAACTGACGTTACAATCCAACAATATTTAGGATCCTTGAGCAACCTGACACCGAGGTGCTAATATAATTTAATACAATAGAAATTTTTCATACACTGAAAGTGGGCTGTACGCTATACATTTACTGATGATTACTCATTTAGAGAACTTCTGTACTGAGAAGATGCAATTGTTCTTGCAAGGTTTTTGTTGTCTTTTCTCCAGCTATTTTGCCACATACAACAGAATGTCATTTGCCCAGGACTGCACTTTTTCACTCACTAATGTTCCCAGTTCCTTCCCCATCCAGGCCCCCTAACACCTGCCCCCAAAAGAGGACAGCTGGGTTTGTCTGCCCTTTCCAACCAAAAAGTCTTCAGTGGGTCTTTTATTCATTCAAATATAGCTGCTTCCTCGGGGCCTGCTCTCCTCCTTGTTCCCTGGAGAAAGCTGATGCAGCTGAAGGAAGGAGGAGTGGCCATGAGCAACAGCTTTTCAGTGGACCTAAGGCCTGTTTAAGGGCTGGAATGGAAAAACGTGTTATATCTAGTCCCTGAACTTTCAGAGAGAGGGCTCACTGATACTCGTACTGCAGTAGGCAAGGGTGGAAAGGCCTTGAAAAGTCTGGATCTGATACAATTGACACAAAGCCTGTGGTTCTCTGACATTTTAATTATTGTTTGGTTTTGTTACACTCTTGTTCAAGATGTCTGTTATGTATGTATCTAGAAATATAGGATGTCTAAAATAAAATCTGAAATACAATAAAATCAAAATTGTCATTTTTCTTCCTACCTTCCTTACTTAGAAGTATGGATGAAGAACAGATACTGTAGACTCACCTCCCCTTCCAAACCCTCCCCAACTGAGATAATGACCAAAATCCTACTGGCATTCACATAAGGTTTGCATATCTTGCTGTACTGGTGCTAAAACATCTCAGTTACAAGATGGAGTACAAGACAAAGCATGTGACTAAAATATCTCTTCAATTAGCCTCTTCAAGTTAAAGAGAAATTTCACTAACGAGTAGGATTCTGGCCAGTCAAAGATAGTGTGGTGTAGCACCAACAGTGCAATCTTATATGTGTACACTCAGATATAACACTCATGATGGTCAGTAGGGCTTGCTACTTCGTAAGGGTTTACACCCTGTTCAGAGGTGTCGTTAGACGGGAAAATCTGCTATTTTCTGCATAGAAGGAAGCTGCTATAGCAGATGTTTAAATGAAGATACGAAAAGAAGTATCACTCTATACTATCAGTTAAACTCGCTTTAAGTGGTTCAAATTATGATTTTTATGGACACCTAAGAGCAATTATAGAGGAAAGGAATAAAGACTACTATGAAGGCATCCAATAAATTACAAGTATTTATTGACTAGAACTATGTTACACAACTTCACACCATGCAACTCAGATGACTTCATCAACTGAAGCCATGATCCCTTAGAATTACTTTTGCCCTGGAGAAGCCTCCATAGAATGGAGGCAGGATATTTTAATGTCTGGAAACTGCTGACTGGAGTAGCTGATTTTCAGACATGACGAGCCCAGCCTGTCTTACAGCTCCCAACGTTTTCCTCAGGATGAAAGGATCCCTAGGGACTCCTGGAACAGTGGCAGAAATGGGGAGATAAGAAACCTCAAGCTCGCAAAGCAGCCACAGTTGATGATGTAACCCAAATTCTGTGGTATAAAACTGCACAACAGGATCTCAACCACTGTTTTATCTTGCCTTTCCACTAAAACGATTAAAATTATTACAATAAACAATCAGTGTCAGCAAAGAAAATTAAGATGACTATGTGTTCTTTACCAAATATTTATGGAATGGTGGGGGCTACAAAAGCAATTCCCACCATGTCACACAATGGAGAAAATATATTTAGACCAAGGTTTGGCAATTTTCAGTGGTCTGAGCTCATTGCCCACTAGAACCCTTTGGGAGCCACAGGCCATAGCTACACTTTCAAGATAGACTGAAACTGCTTCAAAGCAACTTGGGTTGTTTCACATGATACAAGCCTTGTTGTGATTGGAAAAAGTGTGCACTGGTACCATTTTAAACCCCCACCAGGGCTTTTGTCCTAGCCAGCCAGCACTGGGAGGCTTCCCAGATACTGACACCACCAGGTCAGTGCTCAACATATGGCAAAACTGGATCCACTGGAGCTGTCCCTCGGGTTAAAACAACATCACTAACTGGCTAGTGTTGAGGTTTCCGGGCCACTCTAGTGCTGGCTTGGTGACATTGTTTTTGACAGGTGTGCACGGGAGCAGCTCCAGCGACTCCTTTTTCCTTGCACAGCAAGTAGGTGAGGCTGTCCCAACCCTGGCACTGTCAGTCTCCCACTGCTGGCCAGTCTGTGAGCTAGGATTTTCCAATGTCCTGCTTTAATTTGTAAGGGTTCACATTAACTGGATGTATGAAACAGACAGTTTCATGCCTGTTCTCACCTAACCATAGTAAAAGCAAGCAAACAAACAAAACCCTGCAGTTTATCTGTAGCATGTACAGTAGTTCCTGCCACAGTCTCAAACTGCCTCAGACCCAGCTACTGGCAGTTTCTGCTGAAAACAAAATCCCAGTGATTTGTCTGGATAAGGTGACATGCAGGGAGCATGCACTCTGCTTTCCAGTAGAATAACACACCCATCAGCTCAATGGCTCCATATTTCCCAATAGCATTTACCAATGATGGTGGTGGCAGCAGAAGAGACTTTGAAAGTTGTGATCCAGGGTGGACGGTGCACAGCCAGAGCTCATTCTCATTGTTTCACCACAGTAGCACATACCTTGGCTTATCTGATGAGTGTTCTTTAAAAAGCACGAAGACTCCTGAGAGGTGTCGGGGTGGCTCCAAAGTAGTCTGCTTCGTGTCAGTGTCTTGATTTTATAACAGATAACTACATATTTTAATTTAAAAAAAAATTAATAACAGGCACAAACACTAAATAATGATCTCCTTCTACTATGTTTATCATGCAGACTCTATAGAATAATGTAGCCTCCAGCTACTTTAAGCTGATGAGGTAAATCGGAAACAATCCAAGCGCCACTGTTAAAGGCTCAAGCTATGTAAGATTCCCTCTCCCTAACAAAGGCTTGGGAGAATGCCAAAGTAAACTGTGGATGCCTTTCTAAATGTCAGAGAGAACCTTTATGACTTTGTTGTTTATGACATGGAATTCATCCAAAATATTTACTTCGCTCTTTCCATGTTTTTTTAAAAGAAGCTGATTAAATCCTATGAGTATCCATTAATAGAAAGGTATTTTCTAATCAGCTGGCTGGATAGTTAAGTGAGTGAAGCCTCTGGCCGCAGGCTGGCAGTTCAATTCCGCACTGTGCCTCTTGTGAGTCAAGCCAGCCAGTGTGGCCCTGGGCAAAGCTGCACAGTCCCAGGATGCCCCCAGAAGAAGGGAATGGTAAACCAGTTCTGAGTATTCTCCGCCTAGAAAACCCTGAAAAGAGTTGCCATAAGTCAGATTTGACTTGATGGCAATTATTACTATTTATTACTATTTTTAATTGCCTGCAGCTCATTTCCACATACCTCAGCACATGGGCAAATCAACCACTCAGAATTAAGTGGTGGTGGTAGTGGAATTCTCACATAGGTTTTTTTACTTGTTGCAGAAGCTATTTGTAAAAGAAGATTTAGAGTAATATGTTTCACTTAAGCAGCATGGCAGAAAGCAGGGTGAAAGATCCAGAAAAGTGGGGGGGGGGAGAGAGAGAAACAGGCAGATGGTTGGCCTGAATGACCCCTAGGGTCTCTTCGCTAATGCTAGCAGTCTATGATTTCAATTTTATAAGTATCAGCACATCACAAAATTAAATATTGCCTAAAGGATTTACATTGTGAGAGAGGCAAGCAATTTGAATTGCTATCTTACTGTCTCCCAGTGATCGTTCAGACCTATGCAGAAAGGCAACTGCCCAGACTACAGATATCAGGGTAGTGGGTGGCAGCAGAGATTCCCCAACCAATTGTCCTGGAGCCCCTGACAACTCCCATACATTGAGGGGATCTGCCATATAGCCAGACCTAAACGCAGAGTGGGCAACATATGACCCCTGTATTATCAGATTGATGGCCACTATCATCACCAAAAAGGACATTTTTGTATTAAATCTGCATATGCTGATTTAAAATTATATATGGAAATATAACAATTAGGTAAAGGTAAAGGTTCCACTTATTTATTTATTTATTTATTTATTTATTTATTGCATTTATATGCCGCCCATCTAGACATGGTCTACTCTTGACATTTAATCCAGTTGTGTCTGACTCTAGGGGGCGGTGCTCATCCCCTTTTCCAAGCCATAGAGCCAGTGTTTGTCCATGGACCGTTTCCATGGTCATGTGGCTGGCACAACTAGACACAGAATGGCATTACCTTCCCACCATAGTGGTACCTATTTATCTACTTGCATTTTTACATGCTTTCAAACTGCTAGGTTGGCAGGAGCTGGGACAAGCAATGGGAGCTCACTCTCTTGTGTGGATTCGATCTTGCGATTGCTGGTCTTCTGATGCTGCAGCAGAGGCTTCTGCAGTTTAACCCGCAGCACCACCACATCTCATAATCATTAGACATTATTATAATTTAAGTGGAAATGCACTACAGCTTGCCATATTGTACAAGATTGTGACTAAGTAACCACCTAGAGAGAAACATAGTATAGAGGCCACTGCAGTTTTCTTGAAATTCAAGTTATTCCAGGTCAGAACAGTGCTTTCAGAATGTCCACTCCTGAGACTGACCTCACATCTGATGTTCACGCAGAACTGCCATGCCATGCCAGATCCTTCCTACCATTTATCCTTAGGTGTATCAGTCTGTGTGATAAGTGGTTGCATATTTTTCTTACAAAAAGTCTGTAATGAAACCCTCGGCACGTTTACTCAATAAGATAAGGAATAAGCCGATTGGCCGAAAGAATACAGGAGGCAAGCCAATCAAGAAGATCCTGGAAGATATAAAGAAAGAGGTGTATGTTGTGAGCCGTCCAGAGTAGACCATGTCTAGATGGGCGGCATATACATGTAATAAATAAATAAATAAAGATAGTTAAATTGTATCTACAGGAGGGAAGTCATGTTTAAGAGTGGACTATAATTTGAGAGAATTACTTTGTATCTGAAATGTTTAAGAACTAGCATGCAATTCATTGTAAACTTAATTTGAACCCTGTTTAGTTTTAACCAATTGTTCTTTAATAAAGAAAATATTTTTATGTTTTCAAGATTAAACCTCTTTGACTCCTATATTTTGGGCTTAAAGCAAGCCTATTGAAAGTAAGGACAGTTTAAAGGTGATTCAGCAGGTAGAGGTGGTCACAAAGTCCCTCCCCACCCATTTTACTTAAAAAATTAGAGGAGGGTTATTAGATACATATCAAAGCATTTACTTTGCCTGCTCTGCCAGGGAAGCTCATTGGGGATGGACAGTAAGGTGGCTACTTACATGTTACAAAAAATGAGGATAGGTAAAGGTAAAGGTTGCCCTTGACATTTAATCCAGTTGTGTCCGACTTTAGGGCATTGTGTTTATCTCCATCTCCAAGCCCTAAAGCCAGAGTTTGTCCGTAGACAGTTTCCGTGGTCACGTGGCCAGCGAGACTAGACACAGAATGCTGTTACCTTCCCATCAAGCTGGTACCTATTTATTTACTTGCATTTTTACATGCTTTTAAACTGCTAGGTTTACAGGAGCAGGGACAACTCCATTGCCTGGATTCAGTCTTACAACTGCTGGTCTTCTGTCCTTGCAGCACAGAGGCTTCTGCAGTTTAACCCGCAGTGCCACCACGTCCCTTAAAAATGAGGATAGGCATCAGCAAAAAGATCAGCCCTTCTTACAGGAGGTATCTCCACCATAGGCCAATGGTGAAGAATGCTGAAAGTTATCTTTAAATAATCTGCTGTTCTGCAGTGTAGCAGAGGACACTGTTCAGGCATTAGCATTGAAATGCAATTCAGACAGGAATCTGCTTTGCTTCTGTGGTTGAAATCCTGTTCTTTAGCATAGGAACTCTGAACTATAGCAGGACAATTGCATCGACAGGAATTTGGTGTGATCTCCTCCATAAGTTCCATTAATTAAATGGACCTGCTTTAGCTGTGACTTGCTATGCTAAACAACAGGCTTTCAGTCTATATATGGAAGTAGCTGCCAATCTCGGTTTTTACCTCAGGCTTCAAAAGGGCTGAACGAAGATTTGCCGTTGTTAATCGGCACAAGAGCTAATGCGCCCAACTCATCCCTAAACGGTAACAAAATACAATGCAATAGTATACTGCAGTAAGTTATACGTTCACGCTTGTAAGCTGAAGGATATTAAAATATGACATTTCGGAATCAATAAATTAGCGGCTTTAGGAATGAGGTTTGTCTCGATCAAAACACCTAAACAGACCATATGTCTAAAGGAAAGCTTTCAGTTTCCCAGCACATTCAATACTTGAAGCAGTCAGTGCGTGTATTACTAATTGCCTGGGCTCAAGTCATCAACCGTGTATACCAAAGGCCGTGAGGATACCCTTTTCTGCACCCATACAGACAACCTCGGCTCACGATTGTACTCCTAAACCCTGAAACCGAAACGATTTTCCACAAGGGGAGGTAAGCAAGGCGAGACGACACTGGCTGCCTCCGCCCTGTCCTTAGCTCCCTTCCAATGAACCGTCGCCTTAACGGTGGAAATCACGCCCTTCCATGCACAACACGCCAACCAATCAGCTTTTTTCTACTTGCGCGTACAGGAAGCTTTAGCGGCCATCTTCGCACCCACCTCCGCTCTATTTAAGACGTCATTCGGGCGCATGCGTGGCGAGGCTGAAAAGCGTTTATGGGTTGCCATGGTAACTGTTCCTAACAGCTGCTGAGGAACGCCTGGGCAGGCCTCGGGCGCTGCTGGAGAAGGACGCCGTTCAGGCGCCCTCGGCTCGGAAGGCGCTCCTCATGTCTTACTCCACTAGCCCGAGGCGAACGGGGTTGCCACGGACGGTCCTGCGCTGGCTGCAGAGCCTCGACCTCACCTTCTCGCCTCGACATTTCCGTAGGTGAGGGCCGGCTGTGGGCCCCGTCGCCCCCCACCCGGACCCCTTTCTTCCTCGAGGGCTTAAGGGACCCCCTCCCGGCTCAGTCAGTCCCCTCTAGCCTGCCGCCTTGCCAGAGGCGCAGCTTATGCCTCGCACCGGGTGAACTCCCAGCCTGATCACACACTTTGGGGATGAAAGGGAGGCGGGCTGGAGAGAAGAAGACGGGGCTGTTTGTCAATGAACTGCCCGGCTTGGAAACCTGCTAGAGGGGAAGGAGGAAGGATCAGCCTTCCTTTGGGGGCCAAGTGTATCTTGATCCCCCTCAGCTAAACTTTGGAGTAAAAAAAAAAAAAGGCTGTGGCCTGAGACCGGGTCTCAGTGAATACCTGCCTGTATGTTTGAATGCTTGCCCGAGATAATGAATGAATGGGGACCCATCCACCAGCTGCCTTGTCTCCCACCGAGATTAGTTCAGGCTGCTTGCCTGAATTGCTCCCTCATAAACTTTGCTGGTGCAATGAGGGTAGTGATAACTGAGGGAAAGACCCATCATCTTGAAAATGCCAAAAAAAAAAAAAAAGGTGCATTGCAGCATGTGTCGTTTACCCACGTGGCCCCTTGCCTTTTTCACAAAAGCACAGAACTCGCCGTATCCCAACAAGTCCTTTACTTCCCTGCCACCTCTGTCAACACCCTTTAATTAGATTGAAGTCCAAGCTGAATATGAAGTTGAACAACACAGGTTTATTGATTACAACAGTGGTTCTTAACCTTTTTGAAAGAAATGCCCCGTTGAGCCATTGAGGAAGTTATTGCCCCCCCTTCCCAGGGCGGTGGTGGTGGTGGGTGTCACTGCAGGGAGGGGGGTGATGGTAACTTATTAAATGGCGGTGGCGGCACCACATCCACTGTCAGCACCAGCCGCTCTGGATCTGGTGGCACAGTAGCAGCGGTGCTGCCGCGCCACCGCCGCAGGGAGGGGGGTCAATGATAACTTCCTCAATGGCGGCGGTGGCACGGTAGTGGCACCACATCCGCTGCCAGCACCAGCAGCTCTGGATCCGGCAGCGTGGGGAGGGGTGCGATGATAACTTCCTCAATGGCAGTGGCAGGGTGGCTCCATCGCCCCCTTTCTGTTCCTTCACTCCCGCTCACCCCTTTTCGTTCCATTGCCCCCCTGAAAAACAAAATCAACCCCTGGGGGGGGCGATATCGCCCAGGTTAAGAACCACTGGATTACAGTTCACTTATAGCGTGCTGCTTATATACCGCCCCATAGCACTTCATGCACTCTCTGGGCGGTTTACAAGTTAATTATGCAGGCTACACATTGCCCCCCAGTGAGCTGGGTACTCATTTTACTGACCTCGGAAAGATAGAAGGCTGAGTCAACCTTGAGCCGGCTACCTGGGATTGAACCCCAGGTCGTGAACAGTTTTGGCTTCAGTACAGCAGTTTAACCACTGTGCCACGAGGCTCTTGCAGTTCACTTATACATGTTCTTCATAGACTTTATGTATTCATTTGGTTATCAATAACTTGTTTCACTCTTAACTCTTTTAGCTATAAGTTCTATACTCTTAACTCCTAACTCTGCTACCCTCTCTAACTACCACAGACTAACTTCTACTTCAGACTCTCATCTCTAACTCTCTCTCTTCCCTATCTGCTCCCTATCTCTCTGATTAACCAGCCTTAACTCCTCCTTATCTCTGCCAAGCCTCATGTAGCTGCTGACTCCGCCTCTCCAGCCCTCTCGTAGGTTCATGCAAATCAGCTCATGAATATGAATGGAATGAGTGATGGGGCCAGTCACCACACAGCACCAACATGATTGTGGTTGTTTTCATTCCAGTAGACTAAAATAGTGATTCAGGTGGTGACTCCAGAGCACCCAGCCAAACTCAAGTTGACTAAATGGGCCCTTGGTCTGCTGTGGGGTAAGGGTGGTCTGCTTCTATTCTCGACATAAGTGGCAGTGCAAACTAGCCCATTCCCAGAGTATTCCCATCCACACTTTTATGGGTCCTTATCGGGGCAACTTTTTAAAAGTGTGAGTAGGTTTACTCCCTTTTGGTTCATTTCCAGCATGCCTGGTTGTGGGGATCAAGCCAAAGGGGAGCTTGTTCCTTTAAATGTCCTATCCAGTCATTTTCCCAATATCATTAAGCTTAGCAACAATGACTTTTTTTATGTGCCACCAAGTCAATTGGATTTCCAGGTAGAGAATACTTAGTGGTTTAACATTCCCTTTCTGGGGGAACCCTGGGACTATGCAGCTTGCCCAAGGTCAGACTGCCTCTACTTGCAGGAGGCACAATGGGGAATCAAACTCCCAGTCTCTGACTCTGCCGCCATATAACTAAACCACTGAGCTATCCAGCGAGCTTTAATATTGCTGCCCAGAGTAGACCTTTGGTCTAGATGGGTGGGGTAGAAGTCCAAATAAATAAATAAATAAATAAATAAATAAACAAACAAACAAACAAACAAATAAATAAATAAATATTGGGAAATTGAGTTCAGAATATCTGTGGCGGAGCAGAGGGAGGAAGGGCTGCACTGATACACTGTACATTTTAGGGGGGGGGGGGGCTCAAGAGAAGGAGACCGAAGGAAGCAAGGCAGGGTTTTTTGTTGTTTTCTTTCTTTAAGGGAGGTGGGTGAAGTAGGGTCACTTGGGGTGTATATGCCATGTGGATCCAAGGATCACTCCAAATGGCATACCAGACCGTTACACAACCTTCAGCAACCCTATTTAGTTTGCTCCAGCATGCTCCAGTTGACCATTCTAGCCAAGACCCATTCATGACTCTTATCTTGATGCTAACCCCTTTCCTGTAAAATCATTGTACATCCTGCCTTTGAGATTACTTAGTAGCTTCTTCCTCTCTTTCTTGCTCTGTGCCTGAATGGGGAATGTCTAGCCATTGAGGTGTCTGCTTGCAATCTTTTGTGTGGGCTTTGCTGGCTTGAGCAAATGGGTGTTCCTGTCTAAAAAGATTTGGAGAGCCATTAGTTGGTCACTAGGGAATTCCACTGCTATACACTGAAGTTATAATGTTACTTAACTAATCTTATTCTTCTTTTATTTTTCTTGAAACAGGGATTTTTCAAATGGCTATCTTATTGCTGAAATATTTTCTTGGTATTACCCAGAAGACATCCAAATGCATTCCTTTGAAAATGGGACCTCATTAGCTGTCAAGCTCAGCAATTGGTCACAGCTTGGAAAGGTAATTAACACATTCTATGAATTCCAAATTAATTTTGATTTTAAAAAGAGACTTGGTAAGATGGAAGTTGCCTTCATGCTTCTTTAGACTTCTAGTACAGTTGTTCATATGTCTATCCAGATGTAAGTCAGAGTTCAATGAGGCTTATTTCTAGGTAATAAGATATAGGGTTGGAGTCATAGATTGCAGAAAAGATGACAGCTTGCCCATGTCATATGTGTGCATGTAAAATTATATTTTTAGCTGTGATATTTTTTAAAATGCTGAAAATATTTTGAGGTGGGTGTCTTTGTTTTCATTTCCCTTTCTCTTTTTTAAAGTTCTTTGCAAAAAGAAACCTGAAGCCCATCCGAGAACTTATTGATGGGACAATTCACTGTAAACCAGGAGCTGCAGAAATATTTGTACAAGACATTTATACGATGTTGACAAACAGGCGGTAAGTTTTATTGTTTCCCACAACATTACAGGAGAATTATTGCAAATGCAGATGACAGTTATTGCCTAATTTTGCACCACTTGAACCTAGATTGGGTGCAGGAAATATTTAATTAAAACTAATTAAAAGCTTCCTTAAAACGGTGTTACAGAGTGTCTAGTTGCGCTGGCCACGTGACAATGGAAACTGTCTTCGGACAAATGCTGGCTCTACGGCTTGAAAACAGGATGAGCACCACCCCCTAGAGTCAGACATGACTGGACTAAATGTCAAGGGGAACCTTTACCTTAAAAGCTTCCTATCTCCATTTTTAGTTCTAAGCCTTCCTTTTGCCCTGGAGAAGCCTTTGGGAGTCTTGGGACATAAGGAGGAGAGTTTTGAATAATAAACATTTGCTGCTATATCACTACTGGGATCAGTACCAGCAGCAACCTTTGACTTTTAAAACCTCCTCCTCCCCCCCAAGGTCTCCAAAGGCTTCTCCAGAGTGAAAAGTTGCCCTAGGGAACCTTGCAACTTAAAACAGGGACACAGGAAACTTCTAATTGTATTTTAATGAAATGTTTCCCATGCCCCATCCAGATTATACTGGCATGAAATTATATGAACAGGATTTTGCCCATGTACAGCAGTAGATCCACAACTGTAATGCAGAAATAAGTAGAACTGGTCATACGTAAGCCTTTCCAGAATTAATAGATTATGAACTATTCAGGCTACATGCATTAAAATTTGCCTCTTTTATTTAAAAGATATTGAAATTGATTAGTTAACCTAGGAGCATTTAGCGAATCCTGCATTCTAATAGATTCCAGAAAAGTAGCCATGCTAGTGTGTTTCAGAACATTGGCTAAATTAAAGAGAAAAGGGAAAGATAAGGACAAGATATTGTGGCACCATAAAGCTGAAAAATCTTGCTTCAGTGTAAAATTTCACTGGGCAAAATCTGTCTGAAGAAGTAAATTTTGATCCAAAAAAGCTCACTCAGTGGAATCCATTTTTTAAAAATATTGTCACTTGATACTGATGTCCATCTTTCATATAAAATATTTCTTTCTGGCTAGAATCCAGCCCAAGTAATTATGCTGGCATAGATCTATCACTGTAAATTCCAACTGCATATTGCTGCAAGTTAAGAAGAGACAAATTTACTGTCACACATCATGTGACTGATATGTGACAGCAAATGTCTAATATTTCCATTTCACACTGATAAGGTTAATGCTGATGAGACATAACTATGCTGCTGGTGTTCTGGTCATTGTTTCATAAAAATAACACAGAATGGCCATGTTTTAGTGTTTTTTAATTGCCTTGCTCTTTTTATTTATTTTGCCTTTTTCTCCTCACTTAACAGCTTCTTAATGGAGGAAGAAGCTGAACAAGCTAAGCCAAAGCATGGCAATTTACTTATAAATGGATATCCTAAATATCTTGGCATGATGGATGCTAGGTATCACATTTAAAATTAAAAAGTCCTCTCTAAATAGTGGTTTGAACATAGCAATTCATGTTAATAGGGTTTCCAGATCATAATCTAGAGGATTGTTTTATTTTTAAAGCTGTTGTTGGGTTGTACCTTCCACCCCTATGGACGATTTTCGCTGGACGGTGAGTTTTCAGCCGTCTCAATGAGTTTTCAATTCATTTCAATCGGATTTTTTATTTCGCTTAACGAGGATTTCGCTCTACAGCGATTATCCTCGTTAAGCGAGGCACCACTGTACTATTATTCTCACTTTGAACAACTGAAAAATTCATACACATACTAAGTGCTGTAAAAAGGTTAAAATATAAGGCAAGCACATTCAAATGTAAATTCTTGGCATTACATAATCTTAATATGATCTGCTTTGGAAAGGTGAGTCTCCATGCCTTCAAATACATGGATATATTGAACTTGAACTTGAATTTATTGTACGGTCAAAGACCCAAAAATACAAGGATAAAAACATTACATAAAATATACAAAACAAGTTAGATATCAAAAGATAGCAGGAATAAAAACTTGAATCATACATCTAAACACAACATTTTACGGATTCTTAAAACTGAGAATAAAAACTTAGCCACTGACTGTGATATTAATTGGTTCTCTCCGGACAGCAGAAACTTAAGGTAGTCTGCGGGAGGTATACTAATGCATTTAGACATTATTGGGTGGAGGTAATGGGTACGTTCAGACTTATATAAACTACATTCTAGAATGATGTGTGCCAGAGACTCAACTGTTTCTTCCCCACAGGGGCATATCCTTTCTCCATAAGGAATGTTATTAAACCGCCCTTTTAACAAGGCTGAGGGAAAGCAATTGAACCTAGCCCTTGAGAAGGCAAAACGATACCTTGGTACATTGATTTGATATAGATAATTTGGTAACTTGGGAAAGTTAAAATTTATACCAAAGTACGTTGGTGAGCAGGTCCTGTCTGCACCTGCTAATGAGTACTGAAGATCTATGTCTTTAATGCGTTGCACAAGCATTGTCTTGATGTTGTCATAAGGCTGACTCAGGAAGAAGTCCATAGAGAAGCCTAAGAGATGTAATTTATTAGTAAATCCCTTGTGCCATGAGCTGGTAAAGACATCTTTTTGTAAATAGTGTATATACCCACTGGTTATGGGAGCATATACCACCTTCAACCAGAATCGGAATGCATGCAACCAGGCTTGACATTCCACCGATTGAAGGCCAGCCTCCAAACGCAAAGCAGCTGAAGAGCAACATCTTGGCATAGCGAATAGGATTCGCAGTGA